CAGGTCACCATCTCGCGGTCCGTGAGTTCGAGCCCCGCGTCAGGCTCTGGCCTGATGGCTCAGAGCCTGGAGCCTGTTTCCAATTCTGTGTCTCCCTCTCTCTCTGCCCCTCCCCCGTTCATGCTCTGTCTCTCTCTGTCCCAAAAATAAATAAATGTTGAAAAAAATTAAAAAAAAAAATAATAAAAAATAAAATGAGGACATCTTCCAATCAATAACAAACATAATACCAGAATGTATGACTATATATAGTTTTATATCTTATGGATATGCTGGAAAACGGTGTTCAATGACAAACACTTCAAGAACAAAGAATTCAGCAGCGGCTCTCACTCTTTTGACTATCTTTACACCATTCACTGAGTAATATTTTCTCATCAGTAACATATTTCATTCCAAGCAGTCATTCCCAACTAGGAGAAGTGGAAGGACCATTCTTTGATATAAACCCACTTTCTCCTCAGCTTGTATTTTCTATAATAAGAGAAATAGTACAAAAGGAAAAACAAAGGACAGAAATGGGAAAGCATACAGTATATTAAGAGAACTACAAATATGTAGTCTCTTGGGATTAGTATATAGAGACCACAAAGACAATTGAGACTGGAAGGGTAGGTCTGGACATGCTAGCCTGCAGAGTTTTTACCGAACCAAGATGATAATGGGGCACCATTATGGGTAACTTTAACATTAATCTGGCAGCTGTATAAAAGCACTGGGTTGGGCAAGTGTCTGAGGATGACCAATGGCAATGGTCTATGAGTAAGGTAATGAAGAGCCGATCTAGTATGGTGTAGCAGGAAAGGAAGAAATAGATATGAGAAATAATACAGAGAATCTCCAAGACTTGGCAACTGTGTAAACATACAGGATAAAGGAGGAGTCAGAGATAAATTCTGGGGCTACAGATGTGGGAAAACAGAAAGAATGACAGTACTAAATGGTAGAGCAAGTGTTCCTCTGGCTATAATGGATTGGGAAGCCACTAGCTTCTAAGAGGTCTAAAAATTTGGTTTGAATTTGTAAAGAAAAGTTAGAGCTGTTATAGGGACTTAGATGTCATTATGGAAACATTTCACCTAAATGTTTTAGCTGAAGCCATGGGAGTGAATGAGTCTCACAACAGGAAAAATGTAGAGAAAAAGACTAAAAAATATATTGATTCACACTGATTAATATTTTTGAAAAAGTGATGTGCACCAAGCACTAACTTTGGGGCAATGTTCACACTTGAATGTCATAGGGGTTAAAAAGTAAAGCAATCAAAGGACTAAAAGGTCAAAGAAGTCAGAAGAAAAGGAATGCGAAGAGTTTCAAGTAGTCAGGGAACAGTCATATAAAAAGATCAAGAAGGAGAATATAATAAACAAGAGAAGGTCACTGAGTTTGGGAAAGATCATGGCTGACTTTTCAGAGAGCAGTATCTGTAGGAGGTGATAAGAATTGAAACCCATCTAAAAGGGACTAAGAAATAATTGGGTTAAGAGCTTGTGGACGAAGACTACTTAGATTATTTTTCTAAACTCTCTCTCTCACACACTCTCTCTTCCTCTTCCTACTTCCTCACCCGCCAGATGCCAGGAAAGACTTGAGTACTTTGGTTGGCAGAGGAAGAATTAGTTTGTGGAGAAAGAGATTAAAGATGCAAAAGAGGCAGATGATTATCAACAAATCAAGGCCAAGAGTAATTTAATCTTTTTCCTGGCTAAGTGGGTAGGAATTGCTTACTCAGAGCTACGTTAAAAGGAAAAGGCAGGTAAATAGAGATTGTATATTAGATAGCAGAGAGGCAGAAGACGCCCACAGTGGATGGCAGCTCAGTCTTCTCCAGAAAGGGGTCATAGTTGGACATTAACTTACAACTTGAATGGTATAAAAAGTCAGGAAAACACAGGAGACATTAAGAGTTAAAAAAATTTCAGTTCCTTTCTGCATTGGTGTTCTATAACTCAAGTATTTTTGGTTTCGCAGGGAATTAATGTTCGTTCACGTTAAAAAATGTTAACACTGTTGTTTTATATTTATATAGTATTATATATACTTTTTATTTATTTACTTATACTTTATATACTTCTTATATATTTACATAGTATTATATATATCTTTCATATTAGATTTTTTATAACAGCACTTGAAAGTAGTAGAGAAGGAATTAGCATTTCTACTTTACAGATGAGGAAACTGAAGCATAAAGATAGTATCTTCCAAAAAGTAGAACACTATATACCTCATAGGACACCATAAAATAAATTGTTCTCAAAGCTATATAATCAAGGTAACTCCAAGGCCTCATCCGTGCTCAGTATCACCAAAACACACTATCCAAGTGAAAGAAAAAGAAGAGAAATACTAAAAGTATAGATTTAGTCTAGCTGCAGATTCAAGGAGTATGAATTTTCAGCACTAACAAACTGACATGCTAAATTAAGGTAAAGCACCCACCATCTGCCTTCATTACTCATAATCTAGACCAGAAGCCACAACACTTGGTATAAGGAAGAATTCTATAATTACAGAGTTGCCCATTATCTGAAAATTGGTATACTTGTAATTGCATGGTATATTCCAAATTACTCAGAAAGGAATAGTAAAAAATAGTTATGGTGGCCTCAAGGTGGAGAATATCCCAACAGATAAATTAAAACAATCCTATCGTCTATTATAGACAGCAAAAGGCATTAAATATGGAAAAAATAAGCCATATACACAAAATACATGGACATAAAACTATCAAGAATGTGAGTAAAATCTGAATTTTTCAAGAGTCTTAGCTCATCGCAATACTTAAAACTTTTATACTGATGTTCTACAGGAAAATATTTTCAATTATTAAGAGACTTAATCTGATCACTGAAAGTGTATGACAAAGAAACAAATTGAAATGCTAACCTGGGATACCTCTGTAGCTTTTTGTTTTGTTTTAATTTTTTAAAAAAATATTTATTTATTTATTTGAGAGACAGTGAGACAGAGTATCTCAAGCAGGCTCTGCACTGTCAGCACAGAGCTCAAAACCGGGCTTAAACTCACAACTATGAGATCAAGACATGAATGTTTAACTGACTGAGCCACCCAGGTGCCCCTACCTCTGTGGCTTTTTAATGCAGTCCTAAAACCCTGCTTGTAAAAAACAAAAAACAAAAAACAAAAACAAAACAAAAAAAACCCTACTTCTAATACTATGTAGGTACTAAAGTCTACAGTTTTGTTTTTTTTTTAACATTTTTTTTTTCAACGTTTATTTATTTTTGGGACAGAGAGAGACAGAGCATGAACGGGGGAGGGGCAGAGAGAGAGGGGGACACAGAATCGGAAACAGGCTCCAGGCTCTGAGCCATCAGCCCAGAGCCTGACGCGGGGCTGGAACTCATGGACCGCGAGATCGTGACCTGGCTGAAGTCGGACGCTTAACCGACTGCGCCACCCAGGCGCCCCTACAGTTTTTTAACTTTAACAAAACTTCGTAAGAATAATGCACTTTAATTCTACCCACTCGATATTCATTGATTTCTTGTGTGCTCATTTTTTAAAACACTGATTTCTTATTCTGGGTTGTACTTACTGTCAATTTCTAAAGCTCCTTTATTTTAAATAACATCTTAAACTTTAAAATATATAAATATGAAATGAATAATTTAATGTAAGTAGGAAATGGGAGGACATCAAACTCACTATGTGATAAATTTTTATATGAGGCCAGAGTAATAAACATAAAAATCTCAAAGATTTTATGTGACTTTTTGGAAAATAGAAATCTTAGATTATATACTATAAATAGATACGTTTTAAACATAAATTCACATTTAAAATAGGTTTAACCACATGCAAGAATATTTGCAATAAGGCAAGACAAAAACTAGCCAATTTTTAAACATGCTTATTCTTTTTTTATTTTTTAAATATGCTTGTTCTATAATAATAAATCTCTGGATGGGAGAAGGCAATTATCTACTTGAATGAATTTATTTTTATCCTTGGCTACTCAGGTGACTTATTAAAGAAATTCAAGTTAATAGAAAAAATAAATGAGGAAAATATTAGGTTAAAAAACAGAATTCAATAAAAGGCAAAGTTTTGCCCACATATTCAACATATGGAATAATACAATATATACTTATAAAAAACTACTACATTTGAAGCCTAGGATCAACATGATCCATTTATAGGAAAGGAGTAATAATTAAAGATCAGAAAGATATGTATAAGGTCTGAAATTAATATTAATAATTACATTTTTCAATTTATACTTTTTTAAAGATTTTATTTGTAAGTAATCTCCACACCTAACATAGGGCTCGAACTCACAACCCTGAGATCAAGAGTCACATGCTCTATTGACTGAGCCAACAAGGCACCCCTCAATTTATACTTTCACTTTTTACTGCTAAGCAGGTAAGTTTCAGTGTTATAAATGTGAATCAGAAAGCATTATCATTCTATTACATAAGTCATTCCTACATTTGTTTTTAAATACATGGCTACTGTATTTTTTATTAACTAAAGAATGTATATCCTTTAATTAAACCTTTAAAAGTATTCTATTACCCCTAACACCTATTTTTAAAAAGCATTACTTGTCTCATTTTCTTATGTATATACATTTGTATCACCTTGCTCAATACTATTTCTGTGACTTCCTTTTACTTTCCCCTTCATGAAAGCCTCTATTGTCACATTCTAGTTCAGAAAAAAAAAAGGGCCATAACTCATAACATTGAGCTCTGTAATTACAGTGGCAAAGGATGAGGTTAAAAGTTTCTAACTCTTCTGTAGGGCTGAATTAAAAAGGAAGCAATTATCTAATAAAAAAATAATAAAATCATAGGTGTGGATGAATGAAGATGGTATTGATTTCAGTTGTCAGTGATAATGTTACATTTCTTTCTCAGTTTCTTGATTTTCAACAAGACACTTTTTTTCAGAAATACTTATTCTTAATTGGAAAAAGTCTATGAGGATACTTACTTTCAATAACAACAAATGTGCAATCTCTTTCTTACCTTAGTGACTTTTCTGGATTCAGATTCACTTTCAGATTCTGATTCTGATTCAGAATCTGAAGAACTTTCTTCTATTGAACTAGAATCAGCATTGGAAGAATCTGAAGTTTTAGATTTTTCATTTTCGTTCTCCCCATCTTCAGAATCACTATGAATAACAAATTTCAAAATATCAACTTTAAATCCTTTATATAAACAAGTTTAAGTAGTTTAAAGAAATCAAATGGCGGGGTGCCTGGGTGGCTCAGTCAGTTGAGCGTCCAACTTCGGCTCAGGTCATGATCTCATTCATGGTTTGTGGTTTCGAGCCCCGCGTGGGGCTCCGTGCTGACAGCTCGGAGCCTGAAGCCTGCTTCAGATTCTGTGTCTCCCTCTCTCTCTGCCCCTCCCTCCACTCAGGCTCTATCTCTGTCTCTCAAAAATAAATAAACATATAAATAAACAAATAAATAAATAAATAATCAAATGGCAAATTGGTACTATATGTCCATTTTGCCTATAAATCAGAACCTTTATTAGAGAAGTATATTTCACTGAGAACCAATTCTTTTTAGTATATAAAAGATAATAAAAATGGTTTTAAAATTCCAGAACATATCAATAAAATAATAATAAAGGTAGTATTATCTATAACCAAATATATCAGAATCCATTCAAAATCAATGATATTACCATGTCAAACATACCTCAAACGCAAAAGGTCGTAAAACAACACTAAATGATGTAAGTAGAATATAATTAATAGTTAAATGTTTGATTTACCAGGAATATATATTAGGTGCTAATAGTAACAACTTCAAAGATACTTAGGACTGATTTTAAAACGCTGTCTTGAAATGCTAAATATCCATTAATAAATTTAAAACTCATACACATACTTTTGCTAAAACAGACTTGCATTTTATAGATTTTTTTTTGTACAAGAAAATTATTTACATATGTTCTGAAATGTGACCCATAAACATACGTGAGAAAATGTTAACTAGTTCAAAAGAGATTCCTTCTAATGCACTAAGTCTTACTAAAAATGTCAAATAATCAAATGTAAACTTTTAAAATACCAAATGATCAAACCTAAATGCTGATGCTACTCATTCATTTAATAAATATTAACTGACCACCCACCATGCGTTGTAAGTACGTTAGTGCTTAAGGATCACAGTGGTTGGTAAGATACAGAAGAACTCTGTGTCGCCCTTATAATGTCTACACTCCTTTGGAGACTATAGAGAAGTAAGGCGGCAATGACAATAAAGTATGGTAAGTAATGAGTAATAATGTACACTGTGTCATGAAAACATCTGGAGGAGAGAAGCATCTGAACAAACTTAACCGAGAGAGGGAATGCTTCCTAGAGGAAGAACACAGAAGCTGAGAAACAGGATTAAGTAAAGGAAAGTCTTGAGTAGGGAGGTAATTATCCAAGGAGAAGGAGTAACATGTGAGGCAGCCCAAAGGTCTTTTCTCAAAGAGAGATAGCTGGTGGTCTTCTACATTTTCTCAAAACTGAAGGTCTAATTCTCTTTCCATGTGTGTGTATTCTTTTTAAGAATCTTTCTTTTTTTCAGAAACTTTATATTAGTTAGCTCATATAGATGTTCCAACATATTCTTACTGGGTGCATTATTATCCTATAATATTCAGGAAAGTTAAGAAACTTGCTCAAGGACATTGCCAAGAGTGGCAGGACTGGAATTTGAAGTCCATCTAAAGACCATGTTTTCCCCATTACACCATACCAGCTCCCTTCAAATAAAAATATTTAGGAGTGTAAAACTAAAATTTAATCATAAATTGTTATGACTACTAAGAGTGGTTTTAAAGATAATTAAAGCTCCTTAGCTTTACAAAATTATCATACAGGGGTGCCTGGCTGGCTCAGTCAGTAGAGCGTGTGACTGTTGAGCTCAGGGTCCTAAATTCAAGCTCCATGTTGGGTGTAGAGATTACTTAAAAATAAAATCTTTTTAATAAAAATCATTATACACTTAACACAAGCAAGTTTAAAAAAAAATTCTAAAAGACAGGCCGAAAAACATGGGGGGGAGAGAGAGTGCTAAAAGAAGGGAAGAATCGATATTTCCTAGAATTGATTTTTGCAGAGGAAATACGATTGCAGTTTATTAAAAATGAAGTCATGGCAACATCTCAGAGCACATGTAATTATGTTCGATGACTAAAAAATATGTTGTTTTTTCCCCATAGCAAAAAATGGCAATCTATTATCCCCAACTCAATGGTTACAACATATACTTAAAAATATAAGGTTTTTAATGTATTTGAGATTCCCTTTAGTGTAATAAACAATTCTTTTAAATTAGAACATAAAGAGAAAACTCCATTTCTGGAGGAAAAAATACATAATGCAACTAATATAATACAAGATTAAAATTTTCTAGCATATTGACTTTTGCTATCTGAAAAGATATTGAGTGCACTGAACAAAATTTTCCTTCCTAGAAATAAGATACTTTTTATAAAGTATGTAATCATAGATATTCTGATATTAAACCAGAAGTACAAAATTTCTCTCAAAGAAAACGCTATTACAAACCAAGTAAATCCTCTGCTGCAACAAGTGAATGATTCTGCATATATTTAACTTACAGCTTTTAAGATAAGATTTTAAAGGTAAAAGTGTTATTTTGTTATGCAGCACTCAATTTTGATGGGTAATTACTGTTTACCTTACTGCTTAGAGTTTCAGATGTTAATCTAATGAAAAGAATTTACTGGTAACTAGCTTTTTAACTTTGCAATGATGAAAAGCCTGTATTAATTTAACCTACAGATTTCATTTGTTCTGAACAGGAAAAACAATATAAATCACTTTTAAAATCATTAAATCCTGACTTAAATTAATAAAGTCATAATTAGGGCATTATGCTGTGTTTGTTATGGAAGTGGCAGGGCGAGCTGCTTTAATTACTGTCTGTAATAAAAGGAGCAGAGAGCGTACTGCGCCCCAATCAGTGCTGTCAGCCACGACTGAGCTGGGCTGCAAGCTCATCAAGTGAACGGGCAGCAGGCTCCCAGGGAAAGGGCCATCATGTCTGCAGAGGCCACTCGCTGACAGCAGTGGGGAAAACAGACTCATACAATCCAAGGTATTAGCCCCAATTATTCAAAATTTTAATGACACTTTAATACATGATAATGTTGATAATGGGAATCTTAAAAAGCGCGAACACTTAAATATCTTATGACCGTCTTCCTTCACAGCCCTTGACTCTAATATTTGGATCATAATCTTTTTACTATAACATTATTTAGAAAAATCAATTGTCTTACTTACATAATGGCAAAGTGTTGAAGGATTTAATTTTAGCCCTCAGCAAAATTGCTACAAAAGGTAATTAAGTGTTTCATACCTACTTCTTGATCACTTAACTCAGCCTTCCAAGGTTATACCAATTTTCAAAATGTAACCCCAAGATTTGTTCAAGTTCAAAATGAAAACTAAGCATAATAAGTAGTAGAATAATTATGTGAACTAGTATTCTAATTAATTATACAATATTCAGTACCTGCTTGGGGAAAAAATGCACACACTTATTTTCTCACTCACTTTATGAATTAAAGGGAAATGTTATACTGGGTGGGAGAAAATATCATAGAATGGTTTCTGAAGGAAATTCTGACAAAATATTACCGTTTCCGTTTGCTTTTGGAGTTCCTCTTGGCTGTTCTTTTGTTTCCTACTTCTGATGCACTTTCACTGTCACTCTTATGCTCACTGGAAGAGTCCTCACTGCTGTCATCACTACTGTCTCCCTCCTCTTCTTGTTCTCCACTTGCACTTCCAGATTCACTGTCTGAAAAAATATAGTCAGATACTCCTTGATTTATAGCCATTTGGTTATACATAAGGACCCAAGTAACTGTTAGTATTCATCACAAATGAAACCAGATGTTGAATTTTAGTTTACTGGACCCCACTTGTTCAATACTCTATTTCCACGCTCCTGTCATTCAGACCCCCACATTCCTATGGCAGGGTGAGTGTGGGGAGCTCCTAAAGACAGAGAAGGCATTCTGAGAGTGGGTACAGAAAAGGAAAGAAAAGAAGAATCAAGTAAACCAAATGTGAGAGAATCTTGCTTTTCAAATCCCTAAGTATCGAGTTACGGCAGAAACTTTTTTTTTTTTAAAGAATGACATAAGCATAATTCATTCCTCTACCAATGAGAAATTTTATTTAGAGAAGAAGGCAAGAGCTGAATATTCTCAGGAATAATTTTGAGAGGGGAATGAGCCATTCAAATCATCTGTAAGAATTTCTCAATTCAAAGGCAATAGGCAAAATTACTAATTAAAAAAGTTATTACTTATTTTAGCTAGAATAAGCACTTTCCATAGGTCAAACAGATGATAAAATGACATTGTAGAGGTAAACACTGCAATGTTTTATGTATAAATTGTGTTATACTAGGACTCTTCACAGAAATGATATGTATAGTGTATTTATGTGTATTTGAAACATGAAGTATCATTTTTACTATTTGAAATGATTATAGGTGCAAAGCTTTAGCCCAGATAAGAGGACAGACTGTTGTCCTATCTATTATCTATCTGATGAAGTGCCCTTAGGCAGGAACATATTATAATAAGTAAATAATATCTAATTTATGAGGATTGATTTATGTATCACACAATGAAAAGCTAAGATTACCTGTATTTTTTTGGAATAGCAGACGGCGGTTACAGGCATGGGCTTTCAAATTGGAATGTCTGGGTTCAAATCCTAGCTCTGCCACTTACAACTTAAAAGACTGAGAAAGTTATTCAATCTTTCTGGGTCTTGGTTTCCTTTCCAACAATGATGATAATAACCCTAGCTACTTTACAGAGCTGTTGTGAAGATTAAATGATTTAAAACATATAAAGGTGATGAGGACACAACAACACCTGCCACACAGTAAGGCACTCATTATCATCAGCTTCTACAAAGGGCAAAATTTATTTTACCCAAATTTTACAAAACTGCCGAATAGGATATTTTAAATTTGTTGTGATATCAAAGGTGTGCACATGTATGTATTAACTCAGATAAATGACTTATCCCATAAATAATGAGAAGAAATTACAGCATCTAAGTGACTCTCTCATGTTAATTACACGGGAGTTCAACATGAATCTGGGTCTAGTTCACTTCAGGCACCATTATTTAAATATCCAAGTTAGTAAAATCCTTAAGGAAATTTGTTTATCCTCTAGAAGACTTCCTCATTGAGAAAATAATGTCATAATTTCTAATGAGAAAAGCTACTGTATTCCTCCAGTAGCTAGCACAAAATTGCTGCCACATGGCTCACATCAACCCATGAAAAGTCTCAATGGAATATTTCAAATACGTATTTTAACTCTCTCCCTATTGCAAAATAAATAAATAAGCATTAAAAAACAAAAAACAAAAAACAATGCCTGGGTAGCTCAGGCAGTTGAGCATCCAACTCCTGATTTTGGCTCAGGTCATGACTGCATGATTGGTGAGATCAAGCCCCACATCGGGATCTGTGCTGACAGCAGGGAGCCTGCTTGGGATTCTCTCTCTCCTTCTTTGCCCTTCCCCCACTTACGCATGCGCATACTCTCTCTCTCTCTCTCATGAAAGTATTAAGTAAACATTTTTAAAAAGTCTTTTTTTTTTAAAGTTAGCCTATTAACAGGCATGAGCTTATGAATAAAGGGGGTGTAGACAAATATCCATATGGTATACTTGTAACTATTCAAACAGATCTTTCTCAATAGTCAACATCATTCCTGAAATCTATTTTTTAGCATTCACAATCTAGATTGAAATATTTTCTCCATTTTCAGCTTGATATGAGGCATTACAGGTTAATTTATCAGATACAGAAAATAAAGATTTTGATAGGGGGAACAGACGAAAAAGAATGAATTACCTTAGAGTAAGGTGATGGATGACCAAGTAATAATGAAAAGCTCTTGGTTCTGCCAAGGAAAAAAGGTTTTAGAAGAAAAGGGTATCATTTGATCTTGGCTCAGATGTCTCCCAGGTAAATTGTTTTTAATATTTAAGACAGAGAGAGAGCGAGCCAGCACATGTGCACACACAAGCAGGGGAGGCACAGAGAGAAAGGGGGAGAGAGAATCCAAAGCAGGCTCTGCCCTGTGAACATGGAGCCTGATGCAGGGCTCAAACCCCACGGACTGTGAGATCATGACCCGAGCCGAAATCCAGGGTCGCATGCTTAACTGACTGAGCCACCCAGGTGTGCCTCTTAGGTAAATTGTTAAAAAGAGTGGTAAAAGTAACTCCAATAGGTTTCTTAAAAAACTAAAAATAGAACTACTCTATGACCCAGCAATTGCACTACTAGGCATGCATCCAAGGGATACAGGTGTGCTGTTTCAAAGGGACACATGTATCCCTGTGTTTATAGCAGCACTATCAATAATAGCCAAAGTATGGAAAGAGCCCAAATGTCCATCGATGGATGAATGGATAAAAAAGATGTGGTGTATATATATATATAT